GCACAGTTGAATGCAAAGCTCCTCAATAAGCATGGCACAAATGGCACATGTGGTCTGTGGTCCCTGGTGAACCCCTCCAGACCCCTGTATGTTTCTCCTGCCCATATCCCTGTTGGGTCCGTGCACAGTGGGACAGAGCCCCATATGTTAAGGGTTGTTGTTTGTTTGTTGGTTTTTGTTTTTGTTTTTGTTTTCATGTAGTTCTGCTAAGGATTTTGCTCTATTTTCAGTGGTTATGGAAGTCACAAGCTTTTGTTAAGACTCTAGTTGGAGGATACTTTATCCTTGGAGGAAGGAAATAGAGATGATTAACTTTCAGACTCCATGAAGTCCTTGGCAGACTTGTGTGGCTAAGGAGAAATGACAGCCAGGAAAAGATTGCCAGTAAATGAGTACATATTCTCGATTTCATGCCAGATGGTCGCACACTTAGGAGTGAGGCCTTAGCTTTTGTGATGTCAGTAATGTACCTTTAAATCTTCTCCACTGGTTTTGTTACAGTGTACTTAAAGCACAGCAAGGAATTCAAGAGCAGACAGCTGGGTATTGGTTTCTATTCTGCCATTTTTTCTGGATGAAGCTTTAATTTGGAAATTACTTTCGTGACTGTGATCTAGAGGTCTTGTGGATTGGTAACATAAAGGAAACTTTACAGGACTGATGTCCTGTGTCAGTGTGAGTATAGTAGATATGGGAATGCAGAGCCCAGCCCACCTAGGGAATGTCTCAGTGCTTCTAAGAGCTGACTGCAGGGAATGGACCCCAGTCTCCATTTTCGGAAGATGGGTCCAGTTTTCAGAAACAGAGAAGAGCAAACCCAGGACTTCAACAGTCATATTCCTGCTTACACTTGCATATTCCTGACAGAGCTGACCTAAGTATTTTAAACATGGCATTTGAATTAGCTATGCAGGTGGTTCTCTGTGCAAATTAACAGTGCTTTTTTTCTTATTCTTTCTACAATGTCATGGAAAATCTCCAAGCAAAATATGTTTGAGTTTTCTGTTGTAAACTAGTAGAGAATGGATAACTTGGCCCAAATGAAAAACCATGAACTCAAAATAAAGTCCTCCAAACTTTGGAGAGTTCACCTTCTGATCCTAGATTCAGCTCAGGTCAGGATTTTATTTTATGTAAGTAGCTTTTTATACACTGATTGAGAATCCTGGCTTGGGTTTTGAGGGATCAAATGCTGTGCAGATTGGGCTCACTGCTAATTTAAACACAACATCTAAAAACTAATTATCCAGATCATCATTAACGATAATAGCCTAGTCTGACCAGAAAATAATTAAGCATTCTGCATTCTCTTGTTGTTTTTGGTCTCTGCAAAAAGTGCCTATTGTGCATACTGACTCAGTAGGGAAGGTGTTCATTGCTGATTTACCAGCAAATTCTTTATTCCTTGGTGGAAGGATAATGAAAGGAGCAGAAATGTGACAGCAGGAGCATCATGAAGTGATCTGGCAGACAGCTGTCCACACAAAAGTCTGGAGAGGGAGGGTGAAAAGTGGGGAAGAAAAAGTATTGAAACACAACAGCAAATTAATGAGAGAAAAAAAGAAAACAGCAGAAATAATTTCTGGACTGAAGAGCTCAGCATGGTTTATTTTAAGGCTAAGAAACTGTGCTGTGGACTTTATGATGTTTGGAGCTCTCAGGGCTACAAGGCCCTCAAGCTTGACGGTGCTACATCTGGAAGCACCCAGCACCCTGGGTGCTGTCTGGGAGCATGGGGAACAGGGATGTTCATCCTCACACGCGTGTCTGCTGAAGTGGTTTGGTGTTCAGTGGTGGTGTGATTCCTTCCAGTGGCTAGCAGAGCTGCTCTGTACAAGTGACTGTCTCCAAAATCTGCTAATTTCTTCTGGTGTGGCACCCAAATACGTGGCTTTAATACTTTGAAGTCCTTCCATCTTCAGGCTTGAGTCTGCAATGTCTACAATTTACAAGGATTTTCTTTTGAAACAGAAGTTGTGACTGGCCATCTTAAGAAGATGAGCAGAAGCAGTGAATGGCTTCCTTACATCTTTTTCTAGAAAGTGTGAAATCTAGAGGAAAGCTAGAAAGGAGCGACTGAAGGAAGGCAACTCAATCTCTGCCAGGGGAAAGTACTCAACTGAAAGCTTCTTTTCTAGTTGGAAAATGCCCAGTGACATATTGAATGACTTGTGAACCAATTCCTTACTTTTCTGAAGAACTATTTAAGAAAGATCTTATGTTTGAACAGCTATTGTCAATGATACGGAAGCTGTATAGATCTTACAATGATATTATATATAGCTATTTTTTTGTCATCCCTCCTAAGTTTGGAAAATTAGGCAACATACAGATATGCGTTCAGCTAGATCACTGTTTTTCACAGATACTGAATGAGCAAGTTCCTTAACAAGCCTTCTGATTTCTCTCTGACAGCTGCTGTAAACCCAAGCTTTTGGAATGTGAAGCATATATATCTATCTATATACACACTATGTATATTCAATGTGTACTGCATCCTATCTGCTGCCTCAGATATGGATTTAGTCTTATGTCAGTGATCACCAGAGAATGGCTTCAAAGGGATGATAAATGTTGTGCAAGAGGCCCTGGGCCATTTTAGTAGTGTGACAGCCTCAGGGTTTCTGGGAGGGAAGGAAATATCTGTACCATTTCCTCAGTTGTAACTACTTTTATGGATGTGCATTTTAAGCTATTTCATGTTTTCAGGTCCTTTGGACACATTTGAATTTAGGGTGGACTGAGGAACAGGCTGAATATAAATGACTAGACCAAAGGTAGAGTAAAAACACCATCACCCCTCCACCAGTAGGATAGGGCAAACATATGAAGTTTCAAAATATTTTATAAGCCTTGAGATACTTGCAGCCCTGGGAATTGTTGAGCCAGAGGTAGTATTTATGCAGAATTTCCTGTTTTTTTTTTTTTTTCTTTCTAGTTGCTTCTTGAACTCATTTAGTTTTTAGCATCCACAGCAATCTGCCATTTTCTGGTTTCATTTGATGTACTCTCTGTCTGATTGGAAGAGGCAATGAACAATGATTTCCATAGCAGTTTGTGTTGCCCAAGGTTTTGTAGCTAACATTTCTTCTCTTTAGATGTCTCTTGTCCAGCTCTGGAACTTCCTTGTTTTTATGCTCCAAGTGATCAGCCCCATGTAACTGGTAAAGGATCTCTCCCTGCTCTGATAGCTGGTCCACAGGGGACAAAACCACTACTAGTGTGAGAGACAGCTGAGGTTCTGCTTTGCAGAAACTATTCTCCTGTGGAATGGGTAACCATTTGCCCATGTGTTCCCTACTATCAATACACTGACAAGCCACACACTGGAACTCAAAAGGGAATAAAATGTAATTTGTTGAAATACTTCTTCTTTGCTCAAGCATGTCTTATGAAAACTGGCCATGCTCCCAAGCTGATGGGATTTAATGCCTTGACAAGAGCAGTAGCCAGTTCCCTGATGTAATTCTGACTGAAAAGAGCGTTGAATGAGCTCTTGGCCTGTTTATGAAACAGGTAAATGAAGCTCTGTGGGCTTTTTGTCACTGCTGGGATGGTCTGTAATACAGAGGAACATATTTTTCTCCTTTGACACTGATGCAGTAATTAGGGCCTGTACTCAGTCTGGAAAAACACTTTGCTTGTAGTGGTGCAGCACTGTGGTGCCTCTGGAAACCTGCATCTTATCATTAGGAGGTACTATATGCAGGGTCTTAGCCTACCTGCACCTGGGCTTAAGACACCACTCACTTGTGGTTATGAGTGATATGGACAGGTTTATTTAATTTAACTCAAAATAATGAGATATACATAGATTTGGCAGCTTCAGTGAAACTAGGGGGCATTTTTGTTTGTGGATAGTGCACACCAACAGTGGCAGGGAACTTCAGAATACCTGACACTGCACTGCTATAGGAGTACCTGGTCTGGAGAGCAGAAATACAAAATTTTTGCTATAAAAGAAGGCATATATGTCCTTCATGTTCATTTAATGAAAAAAAAAAAAACGTCAAGGACTTAATGTTTGAGTGTGAATTTACGAAATCTGTCAAGCCGAGACCAAAAGAAGTCAACATTATGTTTAGCCCCTTGCAACTGAAACCAGCCATGCAATGAAGCCCCAACTGGAAGGATATATGGAGCATTTAACCCACTTGCAACTTTACACCATTGCAAGCCATTAAGTATTCTCCAACACCCTGCTGAGATCCTATTTGGGACCAGTATTACAAACCCAAAAGCTGGAGTTACAGTGTGCCTGAAGGAGGGAGCAAGATGTATTGAGGGCATCTGTCATTTGTGCTGGACTTCTGACAGTGCTTACATTGGACTCTACCAGGCAAAAACTGCCTTGGTACGAGCTATATATGTTATTATATTTATATTATATAATACAACAAAAAGAAAGACAGCAAATTTAGAATTCATTCAGAAACTGATCAGCACAATAGTTTACATTGGCTTTGGTGTACTCAATTGGACACTAAAAATTTGCAGTCCTTTATGCCAGGTGTAATCCAAGTTTCTGGCTGGTATGCTATTTTTCTTTGTTTCAGTCTGCAAGTAAGATAAATCTTTCTTCTTTCATTTTAAACCTCCATTGTTTAAATGACAAGTGTTATGTCCATGCATCATGACAGGCATACATGTATTCAGAAATATAGGAGGTATAGTTGAGGTGAAAGCAGAGTTCTGAACTGAACATTGTAAAAGACCCATGAAATGCAAAGCTCAGAATAATTCTAAGACTTTTTGAAACTTCAGCTTTCCTCAGGGTACATGATAACTAGAGGAAGTGGACAGATGTCAGAGGTTTAAACTACATAACATGTTTTTTTTTAAGAGTGAATCAAACTAACTCAAATTCAGTAAAACTTACATTCTAGATTGACCCCTAGGGTGAAGTAATTGAACTAAGACTTGCTTTATTGACAAAATACATAAACAGAGGTTCTCTCACAGACAAATTATTGTCACCTGATGTGGCTGCTGTGACTTACCTGTATGGAGACGCTGCTATAGGACCCGCCTATGACTCCTGCGATGAGCAATGGTAAATTCTCTTGAATGGCGTAGGACCCATCAGGGCACATATACTCTGTTTCATCCACTTTAGTCAAAGATGCCCTGACAAACTCCAAAGACTGTTCTAAGGCATATGTATCCCTGGAACAGGTGTCCAAGATGTGAACTCCAAGCTTAATCCCTGGCAGCAAGTAGTTATCTCTGTTGATTTCGTCAATGGCAAACAACATGGCCTCCAAGCGCTGGATGCCTCGGTCTTCATTGATTCTCCCACATTCTTCTATCCCTGTGCCTTTTTCGTTGACTGGGAATAAGCCACCTAAGACCAGGTCTCCTTCTATCTTAATTTCCTTCCTTACGAAGCTGTGGTCACTTAGGGAAAGGAAAACTCCTTTGGAAAACAAAGCTAGCGCAAGGACTTGGAGTCTGGTGAACATCTTCATTGGTCCTGTTTTAGCAGCTCTAAGAAACATTGGTGGGAACAAAAGTGCTCTTCAGTCCTTGTGATCCATTGGCAAATTTGAAGTGCTGTCCCACAGGCGAGTGAAGAACAAGCCAAGTCTTTCCACTGGACCTCTAAAGAAGAGATGGAAGGAATTAGAAAAGGCAAAAAGTAATGTGAGCTGTTGCAAAATTTTAATTAATAAAATATTCGAGAGCAGTATTAAAAGATTGTGGTTCTCATAGAGCACCTTGTTCTGTTCATTCCATAACTAATTACAGGCTAACCAACTACTAAGCTTTGCACAAAGACTTCAGACATATGGGGTGGCATATTCAATGCTGACCACTGCTCAACAATGCATGTTACAAGCACAGAGACCACTTTTAACATTTTTCTTGTACTATCCTCTCTTATTTCATCCTGTCTTTGGGACTGAGTCTTTTGGACTCCTAATAGTCATGAGAGCCTCTTTCACTGAGTCTCCAGCTACTTGCCTTTCCTTAACAATTTTTTCTTTTTTTTTTTTTTTTTTCATTGTTGGTTGCACTCTACTTACTATTCTTTCAGCTGTCTGTCACAGTGTTGTCTCCTTGCTGTTAATTTTTGCTGAACTCAGCATCTGGCCTTCAGATCCCCAGTCTCTTGTTGAAGTGCACCTGCCTTACCTTCCCTTACCAGCCTGCTCACTTGATGCAAGCAATGAGAGGACTGGATAAACTACTTGATGCTTTACCTCTATTTTTGGGCTGTGACAAAAGTTTGAAACACAAGAAGAGCCCTGTTTTACCAAGTGGGAACTGTGTAAACAGAAAAACAACCAAGTCCCTGTTCTGCCATTTGACCGTTAACATGTTCTCTGGGACAGTTTTGACTCAGGCCCACTAACATTTTTCTCAGTGGTGCCTGGGCATGGTTCATGGACAAGCAAAGGGCAGAGACCATTTTCAAGAAACAGTTTTGATGTGGTCATAGTGTTGCAGCCACTTCACATTGGTTGATGTCACCAGCAGAGAGTGGCCTATGGTGCATTTATTTATTAAGCGCTGCAGTTCTGCAAGGCACTTTACTAAGTGACCTACTAAGGCTTGTTAGTGTGTGGAAGGCCTGGAAATTGAACCTGGCTTTCCATCAAATGCCTTAATCACAAAAACATCCCTCCTTAAGGCAAAAAAGATTCTCTTGCAAACAAATTAAATTTAAAAAAAAAAAAAGAAAAAGGGAGAGACGAAAGAGGAGAAGAAGAGACACAACAAGGAGGAGTCTTGTACTTGATGCTTGCTTAGAGCACAAAATGCTTACGGCTGGACCTGCTCTCTTTAATGTTAACCACAGTTCAGTGCTCAGACCAAGGGGAGAACAGAGCAGTGACGTATATACTTAGGATATGATTTTGCTCTCACTAAGGTCAAGAGAGTTTGCCAATGACCTTAAAGAAGAAAAATCAAGCCTTAGAGTGAAGATCATATCATAACAGTTTTGTAAATAGCTATAAGCAAAGTCTGTGTATGCAACGCAGATGTGTGATTTGTCCATCGGCTACTTGGCAAAATCTCTTAGAAGATGACAAGGTGGCTACCTTGATCTCCAAACCCTCAGATAAATGGTGTGGTAATATTTAATTAGATTATTTTAATAATTTATTTCTGTACTTACTTCTTCCTTAACAGAGTATATATTCTTATTAAAGCTGCATGGTTATTTATAATTTAGAAACACTTCACACAAAGAAATTGGAATAAGCAGCAGTTAACATTTAACACCGAATAATGGATGACCTTGCTTATTGCAAGGCAGTTGTTTATCCTGGTACAGTTTCAATGTTGCTGGACCAAATTGTGTGAGAGGATAGCTTCTTATTCATAATGAGTCTGCCATTGTTCTCTCATAAATCAGTAACACTGTTAAAGGTCTTTCTCTGCAATCCTAGTAACGTGTGTAGTCTGAGCTGCAGGCTGCCTCAGCAGAATTTTCCATTCAGAAATAAGTGATATGTCAATGGAAATCAAGCTTCATCATCCCTCAGCGAGCTATAAGTAAGCTAGTTTGCTGATCACATGTGATTTATTACGCAGGTCCAGAAAATATTTTTTCTGGTAGTGTTAGGAGGAGTAATGAAGTAACTGTACTCATCAGTATTTTCTGGGTCAGACTTAGTACTGTAATTTAACAAACATTATTCAAGCATACACAGGGATATAAAAAGGTGATACTACCCCATTGAAAATAATTATCAGACAGAAAGGTATCATTTGTCACATAAATAGCTGTATGGTTAATAATTCAGTCAGACCAACTTCTACCGTTCTGATCACTAATCCACCATTCAGTTAAAAAAAAGATCTGGGATATTTTTAAAATGAAATATCCATTCTATTTATTATTCTGCCATCCCTGTATTGCAGCAAACATTAATACATTTATCCTTACAACACTGGTAAAAATATTTATTTTCTGTTTTACACTTGGGAAAAAAGAGGCACAGAAAGATGAAATGAGATTCTCAGGAGACTAAGCTCAGATTTTGAATTGCTTGGCATTCACATTCACTATCAAACTTTGAAAAGGTCTCTGCTTCCCTTTAGGAATTGAAGAACATGCTTTCAACTGTGCCCTGCACCCCCTGGTTCCCACTGAGACATTGACTGAAAAACTTCCTGAGCAAGCTGGTCTCTCTTCCAAGCCTGTTCTCAAAGGATTTACCTAAGGTCATCAGCAGAGCCAAGAGTCAAACTTTGATCTCTTCCAGTGTTCCTCTGATACCTTAATGATAAACCTCCCTTGTTTCCCATTGCTCTTGCTGGCTTTTATGTGAGTCTTTCATAAGGTCATATGAAAACTAGTCTGTTTTCAATAGCCCTTCAACACTACCAAGAACATCTAACTTCCCCAAAGAAAAGGCTTGTAAATAAAGTCCTCTGTGAGGTTTTCTAAAGCCTACCTGGGGTATGCCTAGACCAGCAGTGGATTTACCCTGAACAGCAAAGAAGCTGTTCTTGTCCCCATGGCTCCTTCATAGGTGATGGTTTCTGCAAATGGCATCACTCTCCACCTTGCATCACACTGTGCTGCAAGGGTCTGTGTGTCTCTGATACATCAGCAATAAAGGCTAGAAAGGTACTGAAAATTATTTCAGCTTTGCACATAAAAAGCATATATGTACAATGAATGGTGCTACAGGGAAAACTGATTTGCCCTTCAAAGAATGAAAAGGATTTCTGTATTTTAGCATTTGAGCTTGTTACAGTGGCCCTGCTGAGGGAAACCAAAATCAATCATGGCACAGCAGAGGATCAGTCCCCTAAGTCAAGAAACGATCAGAGAAGGTGAGGATTGAGAATAGGCATGTCCATTTCTGTTTATTCCTTTCCACTTTGTGTTGAGAGAACCAGTTTGAAGGTCTCCAGGGATGTGAAAGGAGGAGGTGGTTAGAATTCTGCCTGGGCTGGAAAATACAGAAGACTCAGGCCTCTGATCTCAGTCTGTCTGGGGACACACTGCTTGGTAAGGGGTGCCCATGGGAAGAGGCCACCCATCTACACCAGTCACCTTTGCCTCTCCACTTGACAATTCTTGTGAAGTTCTGAGCTTTTCACAGAGGCTTTTAAAATGTAGGGAGACACCACTCATATGGAGTCTTGCTTTCCAGGAAAACATGACCATCCCATTTTATCTGTTGAATTCCTTTGTTTACAAATGGAATACCGTTACCAAACTCACAGCTTTCAGTATCAAACGTGCTTCTCTCCTTCTGCAGACTCATAGTGCACTGCTGCCCAGGTAGTGGCACTGCTGTGTCCTGCCAAGGAACAAGGGTGCTGTGCACAGGCCAGTAAGCAGAGGCATTAATCAGTGAAGATTTGTTTGACAGGGAAGGGTTCCCCTTGGATGATGAGGGGGGGATGCTTCCAGGAGCAATGGCTTCTCCGTGATGGGACTCCCAAAGGAAGCTGTGAGGCACATTTGGGTGGACAGTGAGCAGCATCACTATGGTGATGCTCAACAGACAGCTCAGTGCAAAGAAGGTAGGTTATTTTAAAAGAGCTCACAAAGATGGGCTAGCAACTCAATTTCTCTCCTGTTCTCTCTGGCATACACCTCCCACATGCTTTCTCTGAAGCTTGCATAATTCACAACTATATATACAAACATTTTGTCCCTATTCCAGGCTGATATGGCCCATATTCCTTCCCTTAGCCGTGGTGAAGGTAACACCCCAGAGTCGAGCTTTGCTGTTTCTCACCAGAAGTGAGTTCACTCCATTGACCAAGCCAATTTGATTTTGCAGTACCCTCCTCTACTAAAAGCATGGTTTGAAGATGTTTCAAACAGAAGTGCCTGTTGATCAAGCTGAAATTCTTTCATTTTTCATTTGTATCTAATTTTTCAACTCCAGCTACAGGCAGGGTTGTATTATTCTAGATGTTTTGTTAATATTAAAAATATGTACACTCCTGCCCTATAGGCTTTGGATCCCTGGTGGAAATAGATGTACAGTCTAGGTGTAGACCACCGCTGTTGTTTCCAAAATGTAATCTGTCTTTCATGGATTTCTTCCAGGGCTGTAGTCATGTGACAGCTCTGGTCTTCTGAAGGCTTTTTTGTTTGCAGCTCACAGAGTAACTGCAACTGTGATATGGCTTCAGAGGTGAATTTTTATTAGGCCAAATGTTACAGGTCTATTTTCTAGGTGTCAAACTCCAAAAACAAGTGCTGTTGAATTTTTCATTTAGCCAGATGACTTGTGAATTGAATATGATCACTCATAAATCAATGACAATTTTGCTGATAACTTCCACCGTATCAACACCAATGGTTGGCACTGGTAGTCTAACCAACAGCTGCAGACCTATCAGTTTTCCACTTGTAAGCATGGAATGGGAAACTTTAATGAGAGCTGAGGCACCTCAGATGTCCTCGCATTTTTCAATCCCATTAACTAGCAAATGGGACAATCTACGTGACTGGGATAAAACTCTGGAGGGTTTCCCCTCATCCTTACCATGTGCCATATCCTAAGCTCCCCTCAGTTTGTTCCCCTTTGCAGTGTTTTTCAGGGCTCATCTGTTTACCCAGCTTCCTGAGAAAGGATGCAACATGAGCTGGCGTGGGTGCTGGAGAAAATTATG